AATTAGGACTAAAAAGTGCTCAACCTGATCCACCCAAATGGTGTCGTTTATTTTTTTGTTCTCAATTTGGCAATCCTAAATGTAGCTAATGTAGCTAATGCAGCTTTAGCCTGTGTTACCTTCATTTAAGCTTTATACAAGGCTGTTACCCCCCTGGACTGCCACCTTAACGTGGTGGGGGAGTTTGAGTACTCGGATGATCCTGGGAGCTATGCTGTCTGGGGCTTCATGCCCCTGGTAGGACCTCCCATGGCAGACAGGTCTCAGGTGACGAGTCAGACAAAGAGCAGTCCAGAAGACACCATGGACAGCACAAATATGAAAACAGTGACGTCGCCCGGCATGGCGCAGCCGGGGCCCCACCCTGGAGCCAGGCCTGGGGTCGGGGCTCGTATGCGAGCGCCTGGTGGCCGGGCCTTAGCCCACGGGGCCCGGCCGGGCTCAGCCCGAAGGGATGACGTGGGCAGTCCCTCCTGTGGGCCCACCACCTGCAGAGGGGTCCGTGGTGGCGCGGTGCTGAGAGGACTGGGCGGCAGTCGAAGGCGGAGACCTCGGCGACCCAGTCCGCACACACAACATCTGGCTCTTGGGACGTGGAACGCGGAACGTCACCTCACTGGGGGGGAAGGAGCCCGAGCTCGTGGGGGAGGTTGAGCAATACCGACTAGAGATAGTCGGCCTCGCCTCCACACACAGCTTGGGCTCTGGAACCCAACTCCTTGAGAGGGGTTGGACGCTCCACTTTTCTGGAGTTTCCCGCGGGGAGAGGCGGCGAGCTGGGGTGGCCATTCTCATTGCCCCCCATCTCAGCCGCCACGTGTTGGAGTTCTCTCCGGTGAATGAGAGGGTCGCGTCCCTCCGCCTCCGGGTGGGGGACAAGTCTCTCATTGTTGTGACGGCCTACGGGCCTAACAGCATTGCAGAGTACCCGGCCTTCTTGGAGTCCTTGGGAGGGGTACTGGACGGTGCACCGCCCGGGGACTCCGTTATTCTCCTGGGGGACTTCAACGCCCATGTGGGAAACGCCAGTGACACTTGGAGAGGGGTGATCGGGAAGAACGCCCCCCCTGATCTGAACCCTAGCGGTGTTCAGTTGTTGGACTTCTGTGCCAGCCACAGTTTGTCCATCACGAACACCATGTTCGAGCACAAGGGTGTCCACCAGTGCACGTGGCACCAGGACACCCTAGGCCGGAGGTCGATGATCGACTTTGTTGTCGTATCATCTGACCTTCGACCGCGTGTCTCGGACACTCGGGTAAAGAGAGGGGCGGAGCTGTCAACCGATCATCGTGAGTTGGATCCGCTGGCAGGGGAAGAAGCCGGTCAGACCTGGCAGACCCAAGCGTATAGTGAGGGTCTGCTGGGAACGTCTCACTGAGCCCCCTGTCAGACGGACTTTCAACTCACACCTCCGGGAGAGTTTCTCCCAGGTCCCGGAGGAGGAGGGGGACATGGAGTCCGAGTGGACCATGTTCTCTGCCTCAATCGCCGATGCGGCGGCTCGTAGCTGTGGTCGCAAGGTCTCTGGTGCTGGTCCCGGCGGCAACCCCCAAACCCGGTGGTGGACACCGGCAGTAAGGGATGCTGTCAGGCTGAAGAAGGAGTCCTATCGAGCCATGATGGTTCGGGGGACTCCTGAGGCAGCTGTCCAGTACCGGCAGGCCAAGCGTGCCGCGGCCCGGGCTGTTGCAGAGGCAAAAACCCGGGACTGGGAGGAGTTCGGAGAGTCCATGGAGCATGACTATCGGTCGGCCTCGAAGAGATTCTGGCAAACCATCCGGCGCCTCAGGAGGGGGAAGCAGTTCTTTGCCAACACCATGTACGGTGCGGGTGGAGAGCTGCTGACCTCGACTGGGGATATTGTCGGGCGGTGGAAGGAATACTTTGAGGTTCTCCTCAATCCCCCCGTCACGTCCTCTGTTACAGAGGCAGAGGCTGAGGATGTTGGGGCGGATACATCCATCTCCCTGGCTGATGGAGTGGCAGACCGGGGTGGTGGTCCCTCTCTACATGAAGGGGGACCGGAGGGTGTGTTCCAATTATCGTGGGATCACACTCCAAGGTACTGGAGAGGAGGTTACGGCCGATGGTCGAATCTCGGATCCAGGAGGAGCAGTGTGGTTTTCGTCCCGGTCGCGGAACACTGGACCAGCTCTATACTCTCCATCGGATACTCGAGGGTTCATGGGAGTTCGCCCAACCTGTCCACATGTGCTTTGTGGATTTGGAGAAGGCGTTCGACTGTTCCCCGGGGTGTCCTTTGGGGGGTTCTCCGGGAGTACGGGGTTGGAGGTCCTCTGTTGAGGGCCATCCGATCCCTGTATGACCGGAGCCAGAGCTGTGTTCGCATTTCCGGCAGTAAGTCAGACCTGTTCCCGGTGAATGTTGGCCTCCGACAGGGCTGCCCTTTGTCACCGGTTCTGTTCACTGTATTTATGGACAGAATATCTAGGCGCAGCCAGGGGTCGGAGGGGGTCCGGTTCGGAGACCACAAGATTTCATCTCTGCTGTTTGCGGATGATGTTATCCTGTTGGCTCCAACGAACCAGGACCTGCAGCATGCACTGGGGCGGTTTGCAGCCGAAAGTGAAGTGGCTGGGATGATAATCAGCACCTCCAAATCCGAGGCCATGGTGCTCGACCGGAAAAAGGTGCCTTGCCCTCTGCAGGTGGGTGGAGAGGTCCTTCCTCAAGTGGAGGAGTTCAAGTATCTCGGGGTCTTGTTCACGAGTGAGGGAAGAATGGAGCGTGAGATTGACAGGCGGATCGGTGCAGCGTGCGCAGTGATGCGGTCGCTGTATCGGACCGTTGTGGTAAAGAGGGAGCTGAGCCGAAAGGCAAAGCTCTCGATTTACCGGTCAATCTTCGTTCCCTCCCTCACCTATGGTCATGAGCTTTGGGTAATGACCGAAAGAACGAGATCGCGGATACAAGCGGTCAAAATGAGCTTCCTCCGCAGAGTGGCTGGGCGCGCCCTTAGAGATAGGGTGAGGAGCTCAGTCACACGGGAGGAGCTCGGAGTAGAGCTGCTGCTTCTCCACGTCGAGAGGAACCAGTTGAGGTGGCTCGGGCATCTGTTCCGGATGCCTCCTGGACGCCTCCGTGGGGAGGTGTTCCGGGCACGTCCCACCGGGAGGAGGCCCTGCGGAAGACCTAGGACACGCTGGAGGGACTATGTCTCTCAGCTGGCCTGGGAACGCCTTGGGGTCCCCCCGGACGAGCTGGAGGAAGTGTGTGTGGATAGGGAAGTCTGGGCGTCTCTGCTTAGACTGCTGCCCCCGCGACCCGACAACCGATAAAGCGGAAGAAAATGGATGGATGGATGGATGGATGGACAAGGCTGTTATTTTTTTTTGCGGCTCCAGACAGATGTTGTTTTTAGTTTTTTTGTTAAATATGGCTCTTTGAACCTTTTGAGTTGCCGATCCCTGGTATAAACAAACTGTAAAAAAACTTGAAAAAACATGCCTGGGCCGCTAAGAAGGAAAAAATGACCAGGCCGTTTGTTCATCCCAGTCCAGCCCTGGGTGTATTTTGAAATATGAGATAAGTGAGAGTTATGGGAAGTTCTTGACAGTCTCTGGAGTCGTGTTTGTGGACTTTTCTCTCTGTAGAGACCACCGCAAAAGCACTCAAGAGGTTCTCAGCACAACATGCACTTAGATCTTTGGATCAAGAATGTGACTGAAATATTACCCATGTGTATGGTTTGTTCCATAGCTTTTGAACATTGACCGCAGCGTTATTTTGCTCTAAAATCCAAAGCCAATTCCTTGTTGTTGTCTAGTGAAGTGCTGAGCAGTGGCCAATGAGGATAAAGGCATGATAAAAGCCTAAGCTTTGACTTTGACTCAGAAAACACAGCAGTAACCTTGAGGTCTCAATGCTCCAAGTCACAGTAAATGCGCAAGATTTAATTATTTATATAATCCACTATTACACTGTTACCAAAAATAGGTTGACCCTGAATATTTATGAAAGTTACATGGTCTTGTATAAAGAAACAGGTTTCCAAACATCTCAAGTCATCTATTGTATTGATGGATTATATACAATATACAGTAAGTATAATGCAACACATGCATAGTGGTTTGAAGGAAAGGGAAAAACGCTGTCAAAGACAGAATGTTGTCTGAGGGATACAGTGATTGGGAGTAACTATAGTTAGAGTGTAAGTGTTCAAAATAGTCTCTACAAACATTTAAGATGTTATGTCTTAAATGTTTGCAGAGACTATTGTGGTATCTGACTGTGGTAGTAGTAAGGCAAAGGACATAAACCACAGGGGGTAAACTCTGCAGAGTACTGCTGAGGGTTCCAGAGGTGAGAATGGATGAATGGGTTTGTGATCGTAACTTCTTCCTGGAGTCAACCACCCTCCTCAGAGAAAATGGTTCACTGCTATAGATTAATGGAGATATTTTGTAGCTGAATACATTTGCACTGGAGATAAACCGCAGTAAAAGTTATGTTGTGCTACATGTTGATCTGAGCTCACTGATCTCACTGGAAATAATGTATAACTTTATAACATACTGTACATACAATTTCAATGTGAGAATTTGATTGAAAATTGGCAGTGACAAAATACACTGACAATATTTTCACATAATAAAACAGCAAACAGGTGATGTTTGATTTGTTTGTGTTGATAAACCGTTTGGTACTCGTCCATTTGCCCCTGATCAGCTGGTGTCTGGGTTGCCTTGGGAGACGATGTCGATGCCGTCCTCCTTTCTCCCGTTACCATGGAGACAGCCTGGCAGCGCGTGTTGTGTCTGGGCGACTTACTGTCATAAGATTGAGTGCCAGATTGTGATCAAAATACTCAAAATGATGCAGAAAGACAAGTGCAAATGTGATCAGATGTTTCACTGTCAGAGCAAAAGATCAAACGTGTTGAGAATGCAGAGCTTCTGAACCACAATATGTCTGGATTTGTTTTTATATTTGTTTTGTAGATGTATGTTCTTACGTTGTAATGTGCTCTTTTGTAGGTTCTGGAATGATGCCCTCCATTATGTCCACTGGAGGGCGCCAAGACCCCCCAGGACAGCCTGCCTTCAGCTCTGACTATCTGAGTGGTGAGAGGAATATGTTTTATAGAGATGAATTTACTGGGGCTAGGACTCGATAAAAATAAAAAAAACGAATTCATTAGAGGCTTTGTAATTAATTAATCTCGATTAATTGCATATAAATTTTTGTCCTGAGAACAGTGAGAAGTATTACCATTGAATAATGACTGAATACATAAGCTTAAGCAACACATGTTCATTGTGAATGATCAGACGGACTTCTTTCCCATCCAATAACGTTTCTGTCATTGCCTCCACATTCTGACAACAACATACACTTCTTAACCCTTTAGTTAAGATAATTATCGTGATAATATCGTTATCGAGCTTTGTATCGTGTTTCGTATCGCGAGGCACCCTTAGGTTCCCACCCCTATCGATGTGTTTTTTTTTCGTTTTTTACCGCGGCTTCTCCCGCAGCTTCTCCCGCGGCTTCTCCCGCGGCATCTGCCGCGTCTCCCATGGATTTTTACCCCCGCTACTTTCTCCCACACCCGGTGTTATGATCCCCCTGTCCCCTCCACCACGGCCCCTGCTTGGGGTTCGCGGGATGCTTCCACTGCGGGTCCGCGGAGGTGAAGCAGCCACTGTACAGGGGCTGATTGTGGACTATGGAGCGCGGTCTCCCGTCACCAATAATGTCCGTGTCTGCTTCACTGGACATCTGCGTGTCTTCCTCCTCTGAATCTGAGTGAGCCAGTACCAGATCAAGTACTTCTCTGGTACTGAAGATCTCGTGAGTAAAAGAAAAAACACTCTTTCCCTCTGCTCTGCTCTCGCTCCGCTCAGTAAAACTCCGTAATAGCAGCTCACACACCTGTGTCTCGCTGCTCCTCCTCTTCGCTCTTTCCTGTCTCTAAACTCACTCAGAGTTAGAGTTGGTCTATGCTTGTTATAATGTACTTTTGAAATTTGAACAAGAAAAGTCACGGAGCTCAGTTGGCGCTCCAGTATAATCGGTCCGTCTGAAACTCATCCTCCAGTGAGGAATGTTCCGCAGTGGAAAATACACATGCAATAAAAATGCGTCAATTTTTTTTAACGCGCTAATTTTGTGGCGTTAATTAATCGTAATTGACGCGTTAAAGTCCCGGCCCTAGCATTTACCTTTATTCAAAGTTACACATTAATTAGATATCACTTTAAAGAGAAGACTGACAATGTGCTGGTAGTCCTGTTTTTAGGAGTATTTTCTGCTGTAAAATCACTACATTGTTTTCTACATTAATTTCAGTTTGACATGGTTACTATTCCTCTGGACTCACCACCTGCTGGAGGATCAGTGAGGCTGGTGCTCTGTGTACTGGGTGCAGCTCTGACTGCCACCCCCCTGACCCAGAAATGGATTAAGGGGAAGAAAATGGATGGATGGATGGTTACTATGTTTTGCACAATTAACCAAATCCTGACATTTATAGTCATAGTGTTTAGTCCCGAGAAACAATTGTAGTCCTCATCTAACTTACCTCTTTATTTTTTACTGCTTATTTTCATGATTTATTTAACTTTAATGACCACAACAAAACTGAGGGACTCCACTTTATTGTTTCATAAATTATAATTTTCTCTTGTATCAGACCATGCCATGCTGTCTTCGTCTAATTATAAAAACATGACATCTTACTGTGAGTCACTATTTGACGCTTTGATCTGAGAGCTGATTGGCCGAGTGAGGGTGGTCCTCTCTCTCACTTTTCTGCCTCGAAAAGGCAATCTGAAGATGTGGCTGAGGCCAAAAATACATTAATGTGAAAACGAATGATAAAACCACACTGTATTCATAGCTGTAGAAACTAGTTGGTTATTTTGTTTTTAAATGTAGGTACCCCAGCTTTAAGGTGTATATTTATCAATACAAGTGCTAATCTGCATGTGCAAAGTAAAAGCGTGGACAATGTTAGTGTGTTTCTATATACACGTGCATTATAAATAATTTTCCTCAAATGTTAAAGGTGCTAGTGTTTTTTGTACACACACAAACCCTCCATGCTCTTTCTGTTTGTCTCAGGTCCGATGATGGGAGGAATGGGAGGAAAGGGAGGACAATGGAGCCCAAACAAGCCCAAGGACAGCAGCATGCCTGACTCTTTTCTAGGTCCTTTTGTCCTTTTATAACTCATTCTCCTTTCTATAGAATGTTTTTAAAATATACAAATCTAAGTTATAATTACTGGATTTCAATCTACTTTTTATCATGAACTTAATCTTTTACAAAGCCTTTTCACTTTGATTCCAATCTTATTTAGCTTGAGTTCAGGAGATCTTATTTTTAATTTTTTCATCGATCATTGACTTTGATTGTTTAACATTCCATCCTCTCATTGGTAAATTTGGTGTTAAGTAGCAACAAGACAACAGCTATGTCATATAATCTCCATTCAAATACACAAACAAAACACTCATTAGGTTAACCTTTTGTTTCATAGATAACACGCGTCATTTGCCCCAACAGACTTTTGTAAAAGTAAAATCTTGTGAACAAATCGGACCATCCAAGGCTTTCTTTCACATGAGAGCTGATTGGCTGATTGAGGGTGCTCCTCTCTTCCACACTTTCCTGTCTGAAAATGACGATCTAAAGATGTGAAAGAGGCCAAATAATAAGAAATAATAATAATAATATTAGTGAAAACCCAAACTGGCTTGAGGGAAAGGAGGAACCAGTTGGATAGATTTTATTACACATTATTTTCATTATATGTGGTTTGAAAGTTTAGTACCCTAGCTTTAAGTTGCAAACAACATGTGCATACTGTTATAGTTTCTTTCTTGGTGATTATCCAAGTATTGTTGTGTGCTTCTCAGGCTTCTCACAGTCTGGCCTCGGTGGGACTGGGCTGCCCCCTTTCCAAACCAGTATGGGACAATCTGGGATGGGCTCAGTTTTGGAGCCTCAGAAAACGTCCGGCCTTTTCGACCCCAAACCTTCCCCCAACACCACAGGAGCCGCTCTGTTCAAGGCCCCGGAGCCCCACGCGGCCCCCAACACAGGTAACAGAGCATTACTATGATGCATGTGATTTCTCAGCTGGGGGAGGGGCCAGACAGAACGAGAAGCAAAGAAATTACATTCAAAAATCTAAACGTTTATATCATTACTGTAATCTGCTGTAAGTAATGTTGTCCAGAAATTTTACGGAAACTTTACATATTTTATTTGTTTGTTTACGAAGCAATTGTTTATAGGCATAACTAGTCGGTCGGCAAGAAGGTCCCGGGTTCGATTCCACCTCCGGACACGGCCTTTCTGAGTGGAGTTTGCATGTTCTCCCTGTGTCTGTGCAGGTTTCCTCCAACTGCTCCGGTTGCTCTTACCAGTAAAAACACGTACTATAGCTCCCCTCTACTTCGGGGCAAAAGGATCCCCCAGAAAAGAGATTCTGAAATCTGGATAGAATTTCAATAAGCTTTATATACCACATTAGACCCGTTCGCTAATTTTCACTTTTGTATTCCACGTTTGCCATTGGGGTCAATCCTAAAATAGAATTACAATAGAAATACTGTAGTCCTGTGTATTTATTGCTTTCCTTTTTTAGTTCAATTTTATGTGGCAAGACCTGGTGTTCATGTGGCAAATTATTTTCTGAACTTCTACTGCAATCTCTCTGTAAAAAATTATAATTAGGTTAAAAAAAATAACTTTTTGAAATGTATCGGGGCACCTCCCTTTTTTGAACAGCAGAGGGCAGCATTTATTAAAGATCCAATGCAACTAAAGCTTCTACTGTACTTTTCTTCCTACTGGAGTTTAGTTGTGCTTGATCAATAAAAATATGATTCACCTTTTATATATGATTTTATTAGCATTCACACTGTAGCTTTTAAACTACCATTCTGCTCTGGTTACATTACAACTTCTCAAGTAAAAACATTACAAAATAGATGAAAATAGATGTACATTTCTCCATTGTGAGATCAATAAAGTTTATCTTATCTTAACTTAAATATGAAAAACAAAATGTAATGTTTTCTCAGCTTTTGCTATTTAATTTAATGCAGTTTTCCAACATAGACCTTCAGCTTGGCTTTAACTTGAGCAACAATGAGCATAATCTATAAATTAAAAGAAACCCTTGCTCCTAATACTATTGCATAACATGTGTTTAAAATAGCCTGAACCGCTGCAGAAATGTTCCTCTTGGCAGTTTTTACGGTCCCAGATTTAGATTTAGTCCCATTAATACCTCCTCACATCAAATTTAGATAAAGATGTGTGTTTTGTCCTATACTGTAGATATATTTAGATACAGGCAATAGGGAGAAATATGATAAACGATCAAAAGTGGGTATGTTTGTGCATGCGTTGTGTGTGTGTCTGTTTGTCTTGGTTTGGCATGAAAACAAGTTATATTCCTCATCCTGGGTTTCTTGCCAAGCGTGGAGCATGCCTTTGGTTCTGTGTGGCTCCCCAGTGTGCATGCATAAGTGTGTTACCAAACATTTCATTTTGTGCGTTTTGCTTCATGCCTGCTTTCTAAAAATAAGACCTGCCCCTGATGTTTGAATGTGATTTAATATGTCATATACACTATAAAGGGATACTATTTTTTCCTGATTAATTGGGGAGTTGGCCTAGTTTTCATGTAGTTTGTTATCCTCTTCCTTCTGTATCCACGCCCCAATAGCTGCAAGTATATATTAGACTCTAGCCTATATGCTAAAGTGACCCAACGCATCCAGGAATATTAGTGCATTTATAAAAGTAGGCACCATCACATACTGTAGTGGGTTCTACCAAAAGGGGTCTACCAAGCATGTTTTATTTGATCATTTTACTGATTAGAAAGTATCTAATATAAGTTTACAGTGAGACTTTGTGGCATCCTTGAAGATGTTTCCTTGAGTTTTCTTCTTGCACATTATTTGTGAAAACTATTCAATCCGGTTAAATTGCGAATATAATGATCAGGAGGATGAGCTGTCGTCTGTAGTAATTACTGCTTCAGTTACTTGTCCCACATTAGATGCAAAAGACTTGGATGTCTTTATCTCACAGTCAAATACAGTCAGTATGCTGCTGTCTTATTGAACACATGTTATGGCCCCTCAACTTATCCAGGCACCATATCATTTGTCTGGTCTTTATCTAGTCTTCACCTACAGCTATTATATTATGTATTTATTTTCAGAAATTAAAAGAACAAATCCATGCAAGATACTTTCATGTTATACCATGGTTATACAAACTATTGAGACAGTGGGCCACAAACCTCAGATCTGGAATATTGCAGCTTCAGTTAAATTGACATAGATAGTCAGTAATCTCTCATTATTTAATGTGTACTATACAGAAATTCCAATGGACAATCACTTGCTTGTCTTGCGAAAATGGTCGGAAATGGTCAGCAGTATCTTGGTGGCCTAAAGCTCTTTGTTTTAGTAGTACTGCCAAAAAATTCCAGGAAAAACAATGATATATTCATGGAGAGTAGAATTTTTCAGACCCCAAAAAGACTTCCCAGTGCACATTTATTGTTGATTATGATGGAAATCTAAATCCCACATAGGTAGCAGTTGGGTGCCCAGACTCGGATGCCTTTTTTTTTGAGTGAGTATGTGATTGGTTCCTCCTCTTATAAACCCCTCCCCTCGGCAGCTCCGGGTATCTCTCCCAGTGGCTCAGTGGACGGCAGCAGCGCCACGTCTTCCGCCTCCGAGCCCACCAGCCCCGAGCATTGCGGGCCGGGGGGCGAGCTGGGCAAGCAGAGGCGCAGAAAGAAGAAGAGGAAGGGGCGTGACGAGGTGTACGACTTCCTGGACAGACACGAGAGCCAGGAGGGGGAAGAGGAGGAGGAGGAGGACGATGATGATGAGGAGAACTGGGAGTGGGAGATCAGAGAGAGCGGAGGTGGGGGGCGCGTAAGGGGCAAGAAGACCAAAACTCGGGCCAGGCTTCCCGAGGAGTGGGGCGCGCCTCAGCAGCCAGTCTCCCCTACACCCGCCACAGTAGCCCCATCGTGGGCCGATCCTCACTCTAAGCCCTGTCCCATCCCTGAGCAAGCACCCACAAGTTTCAACCATTCCCACGGCAACGCAGACGCCTCTCCGCGCTCTTACGAACCAATGTGCGTAGACAAAGAAGACATATCCGGCAGTAAACCCGCCGCGAACGTCAACGGTTCAGCTACTAACAAAGCTGAAATAAGCGGGGACCTGAATGACAGTTTAGCTTTGATGACAGGGGAAAACTTGAGTCCAGTTTCCCAGACTTTCTCCTTCCTGGATTCAGTGCTACAGACTCCCCCTGCCTCAACCCCTGATTCTCAAACCACTCCTCTCGCCAAAACCACCCCTCCAGAGATAACCAGTGTCCCGCAACCGGCTGTTTTTGCTTCTCCCAGCCCCGCTACCATTGGATCAGGGCTCAATGTCGATGCGAAACCCTTTGTGCCCTCATCCGTGCTCCTGTCCTCCGGCCCTGGCCCAGCTCCTACCGCTACACCCGCCACTGTGGCCCCCGCGAGCGCTGCTTTTATAGCCCCCAGTCTCACCAGCGTCACTCCCTCCTTTAGCCCGGCCACCACTGTCCCTCCCTCACTCACTCCCGCTCCTTCTCACCCTGCACCCTCTGCGCGCCTGGAGTCCTCGTCGCCACTGCTCCCCTCACTGGAAGGTTGGTGAACTGCAAAGAAGAATCCCAATTATAAAAAAAAAACAAAAACAAAAATATCAAGCATTATAATCAGGCTCAATGTTATGTCACAGCTTTAGACACCAGGAAGTGACTATTGTATTGTCTTCCTGTCTGCATGGCTTACTTCTGCTGATCGAGCACCAGGCTTGCTTGGTGTTGGATCCATTGAATGTTTGTAATCATCATGACACAAGCGTTAATGCAGTTTTTTACTTTACAAAAAGCACATATCTAGACACAAAGTTAAGCTTGTATACGCAGTCAGTCAATAGCTGTTGAATGATCATTTGCGTCTAGATATGTCTCCGCTTGTCTCTATCTGAGAAATGTTTGGCTGTGTTTTTGATAGCTCTATCCTCTTTCCTTTTCTTCCCTAAATATAAAAGACTTATCGCTCTCATCATTTCAATTAATGCATACGTGAATGCATCCTATATTAATGCCTCAATGGTTTGTTGAAAGTGGAATCAGAGGACATGGCTTCAGATGTTATACAGCTGTGTTGCCAAAACATTATCCTGAATTTAAATAGTTCTTAATCTATGTTGTTATATTTAATCTTCTCCAGTATTTTGTATGCTAATAAACCGTGTCTTGACAGAGGGTATAGATGGTCACAGCACCTGCTTTAATTCTTGTTCTGTTCTCTTTTATGAACTGGGGAAGTACATCGAACTAGCCCCGTGTTCTACCTCTCCCTCTGTTAAGATGTTATTTCTGCTACCCTCCCATATTATCTAATTCTATAATCTTATACCGAATCACTGCTGAGATTTTGTTCTGATAAAAATGCATCTTTGCTTATGAATCTATGAATAAGTTTACTTAAGTTTGCCGACTTAACAATAGATTGATCAAGTTAAAGTAATTCTCTTTTTACTATTAGACTGAAACAGATAGCTGATGCGGTTTCTAATGAGCTGTTTGTAACTTTATTTCAGCGAGACAGATGTGACTGAACATTTCCCTTCTTTCTCTCCCCTCCCTGCTCTCTCCCTCTGCTGCCAACATCTCTGTGGTCGAACAACAGGTGAGTCTAAGTTATGTCTTTGCATCTTGTCATATTAGCCATTACACCAGGATTATATTCTGCACTAATGTCTGTGATTAAGCATGGGTCAATAGCACTGGAAGGGAAATGTCATATGATTTTAATATGAAAATCTCTATTGCTGATGGAAAGAGTGTGTGCAAGCAATGACATGTGGCGATACTAACAAGGGATGCACTGATACTGAGGCTGAAATATCGGTTTCTCTGATTCAATTCAATTTCCATTCATTTCAAGTCTCGGAAAGCTTTATAAAGGTTTCAATTCCCCAACAACAGATCAGAGAATGCAATAATAACAAAGGCAAACACAAGAAACCTAAACATAGGCTCCATTATTAGCAGGATGACCAATGTCCATGATGTTGGGTATAAACTTTTTCTCCCAATTTTAGCTTTACTCTTGATGTGATTAGACTATTTAATGGCTAATATTATCCTAGAACCTCACAAACTTTCAACCTTTACTCAAAGTGAACCTGTTGCTACTTGCTGGAAAAGAACTGGTAAACACAATTCGAGAAATGTATTATATTTTATGAAAAAGCTACAACTTCCAATCTTAAAATTAGATTGTTACATTTCAAAAGTAAAGACATTCAAAATGCATCATTGCAAAAATAAGTGATTTAACAAAAGCAGAATCCAGAGTAAAAACACAAAAAGTTACCAAACAGGCAATGAAGACAAGAACTAAAAGGTCTAAGGAGACACTGGTGAGACACACGTGGGCAAGGCAGGTCATCAGCCAACACCCGACAGGAAGTAGAACTAAGGAAGAGACAGGAGTTAAAACATTACAAAATAAAACAGGAAATGAAACTTGTTTGCACGTTTACTATTGTTCCACATATTTTTAATCATCAACACGACAGTCGTGGCCATTTACAGAACTATCTCATATATAATAACATCTTTCCAAAGGCTGGGAGTCTCTGTTTTGGTGGCATGTGTTCAGGAGGAGTTATTCCAAAGAATCTTTATTTCACACCACAAATTGTTATTGTGACACTAGTGTGAGAATATCCCTTTATTATCAAAGGCACAACAGAAGTTCCCGTTTTCCGCCCCAGCATGAGTTATGACGAGCTCTCTGCTTCAATCTGATTATGTTTGTAGGAAGTCCTTATGTCTCCTGTGAGATACCCGCGCATCCTTTTGCCTTATTACCTGCCCGTGTTAGCTTCACATTCATATATATTACAGCAGCTCAGGCTCACTTTTGTGTGTGAAGACGAAGCTTATGTAAAGCCATTATGGAATCCATGGTTCAAAATGAAATGAGCTTTAAATATTCATAGCTTGTTAAAGGTGGACTGTGTAACTCATTACGATGGACAAGTTTCCCTGCCTTGAATATTTCACAGTTTGAAATCATGCATATTCATCTCCATGACAAGACTGGGCAATGAAGCTAAACAGTTTTAAATGTTAAATTGATTATAATTGAAGTCACTGAAGAGTTTAGACTTTGGCTGAAATTGCTTTAAAGAAACATAGTATCTTTGTTCTCCACATAATTTTGCATTTCTGATCTCTCACGTTCGTCAAACCTTTTGGATCTCTGTATGCACTCGCTCCTCTTGTAATTTTTCAAAACATATTATTTAATGCAATTTTATATCCTCTCCAAACCAATTTCAACAGTATTTTGTAGAATCGCAAATGTAATAATAATGCAGCACTTTTCTAGAAACTCACAGATGCTCATCATATATTCTTTAACTCCATACATGGTGGTGATAAATTACTACTGTAGCCACAGCTGCCGTGGGGCATGCTGAAAGAAGCGAGGCAACCAGTATGTGCCATCGGCTTCTCCGACCACCACCAACCACACACACACACATCAGAGTCATTCTAGGCAATGGGGGTGAAGTGTCTTGCCTAAGGACACAACGACAGTTTGGCACTTTACAGCCACAGCCGTCTCACTGTGGCACCTGGTGTTCCCAGAGGTCTCCCATCACAGTACTAACCAGGTCGAATATAATCACACATATGCAGTGGTTGACAAGCCCCGCCCATTATGAGTTAGCCACATTTCTCATCGGTTTAGAGTCACTCACACAGAACCAGCAGCTTTGTGACTCTGGTCTGTGTAAGGCACTATATATTACTTACTTAACTACCCCTAAAGCGCCTCAGTCTGCAGCGTGTTTACAGGTTTTCTCATAAAACACATTTAAGTAGTTAGAACTGTTGTTTGTAAATAGTCAAATGTACCCAATCCAATGACCACACAGGGTTTCTCACATGGCATTATTCATTCACTCTATATATGGTGGTGGTACATTTCTACTATAGCCACAGCTGCCCTGGGGTAGACTGATGGGAGAGAGGCTGTTAATCTGTGCAATCAGCCTCTCCAACCACCACCAATCACCACACCCGCACGCACACTTACTAGTGAAGTGTCTTGCTTAAGGACACGATGGAGCTATTGTTCAAACATGTATGTACTTAGTTTATTTGAATAGGGACAGTACTCATTAATCAACATTTCTGTAAATGTGTCAGTATTAGCTACAGCTTTCAACTGCAAAGTCTAAAATACCATCAAAATACACTAAAACATTCCTATTTAAAACAGCTCATTAAAACATATACAAATAAAACACAACACCACACTACAAATCATGAATGGTTACAAGGTTGATTGCCCAATAACCATGTTTTTAACGTGCGTTTGAAAGTCCTGAGTGCAATGCTCTTTCGGATGAACTGGTACTGAACGGCGCTCATTGAGAAAGCTGATTGGCTGAAGGAACCTTTATCAGTGGGACAACATTTGGTCATTTGACTGGATATAAAAAATATGTTTAGTTGTAAAATAGAAAAAAATAATAATTGATGTTTCACTCAATGCTGCTTGGCGTCTCCTTATAACCATAGATACACAATGCAAATAATATTAAAAAGCCATGTAACTATCATCCTGTCTGATCTCTTTACACATTATTTCTGGCCGTGCATCTCCACATCCGTCTCATCATTTGACCTTCATTTGTCTTCTTTATGTCTTTATCTTGTTTGTGCTGCTCCTTCCGCTTTCACCTCACCTCCTTTTTTACCCGTCTAAGGTCTAACCATCCAACGTCTTATTTCTAAAGCGTGCAGCTCATGAGATGTATGCTTAAATGTGTCTTTGCTGCTTACTTTCATCCATCCTTTCGTTCATATGGAATAAAATTTGCATTGTGACATCCAGGCGGATCGGCAAACAGCTGGGAGAATTAAAGTATTTGGTTTTTCTATACCAGACAATAGTAAGTTAGTGATGTTATTACTTAGAAACATGTTAGCTAACTTACTATAGTCTGGTATAGAAGAACCAAACATCTTTATTTCTACAAGTATCTATAGATAGATACTTGTCCAGTAGCAGCAGAAACACATCCATCCATACAATGAAAACAATTAAATATATCATTCTAAAAGTAGCTAACAATAGTAATAAAATGCGGAGGGGGAGTAGCCGCTTCGTGGACGATTTAGTGACATGGTCTTATCCGTGTGATGATAGGACCATAAATGTCATAAGTAAATTCCAGTGAAAAAGTAATTATTTAAATCTATCTATCTTGTTCATTGCTCACATGACATCTGTTTCTGCGTTTACATTTCTGCTTTTTCTCACAATGAAAAATATGGGTTAAATTGCTGTAGTAATAACTTTGTTTATGTTATGCTGTTGAAGAAACACAATTGTTGTAAAGTCACTGGATATGTGCACAAATGTAAATGTGAGGCCCAGAGACTTGAGTATTTCATTAGAACCCAGAGATCTCCCCCTGTAACCCCACGCCGTAATAATCCCTCTGTTGCTCATCAGTCGTGGATTTTGGAAAGAAAGAAAGGGGGGGTCTGGTTGTCAGGGAGACACAGGAGGCGGTTGCTTTGGAAACCTTGCTCATGAGCGATGGTGGACTGGGTG